GGTACAGTGTCGAAGGCCTTGGGGAAATCTATATAAATCTAATCAACTTGTTGTCCATGTACAACTTCGCGAGACAAGGTGTTGACGTAACACATCCGATTTGTAGTCGTGGAGCGTTGTTTCATGAAACCATGTTGGCTGCCGGAGATTAATGAAGATACGGCGTTATACAGAACGTTATGCACCAGTTTTTCGAAAATTTTGCTCAAACAACACAAGACAGAAACGCCTCGATATTTCGTGACTCGATTACAGTTGCCGGATTTGTAGATTGGAATATTAGAAGCTGATTTCCAAGCCACTGGGAACATCCTGTCATGCAGCGAACGGTTGAATAGAAATGTTATGGGAGATGCAAGTGCGGTGGAGCAATTCTTCCGCAGCAAAGGTGGTATACCGTCCCATTCCAGGTCCTTTATCAACGTCGAGTTCTTCAATGGCTTTCACCACTTCGACAACGGAAAACTGAACGTCGGGTAGATTTATGTCTGGTGAAGCAATATGGGCAAAGCGGTTGAAGCGATGAACAGGCGATGATTTGCTAAATACGCTCTCGAAGAACTTGGCGAATAGGCTTGCTGCTTCCGAATTAGAGCTAGCGATGGTTTCGTCGTATTTAACGTTAGTAGGAATGCGAGTAGCCGATTTTTGGCTTCTGACAAAGTTCCAGAAACATGAAGGATTTTGCTTGACATCTGATTGAATCTTAGCCATGTAACATTCATACGTGGAAAAGAGAAGTGCCTTGTACGTTGTTTCCACTTCCTGAAGGTTATTCCGCTCACTATCGGACTTCATCAGAATGAAACGGCTGCGTGCTTTCCTGAGGACGTTTCGTAGATGACGTAGTTCAGAGGTCCACCATGGCTTGTTGTAGACTGAAGAAGCTCGTTGTCTCTTTTGAGGTACTTGGTCACTAAGAACTTCGTAAAGTTTATCATAGAAAGCTGATACAGACTCGTCCAATGATTCCCGTCGCAGTAGAGCATCCCATTCGATGTTTGAGAGCACGTCATCCAAACGACCAAAGTCACACGACTGAAAATTAAAGTTGAATCTCACATCCCCATCGTCCGTTGTGATTGTGCCATTACAGCTTTCGTCAAGAAGCAAGATAAATGGTGCGTGATGGTCGTCAATTGGTAAAAGTGGAGTTGAGGGTACAATGAGGTCAAAGTACTCCGGTAGATTGACAAACACAAAATCGAGGAGTCTGCCATTAGTATTCACAACATCGTTGACCTGACGCAAACCAGAGGCAAAAGAGTTCTATTTCTGAGGAAACGTTTGACGGGATAAATCCGTTCACGTCATCGTCTGATTGCCACCGTAAACTTGGAAGATTGTAGTCTCCTAGTGTCAGAATCACATCAGCTGTTGACGAGTTTTTCGAAATTAGCTGCACTGCGTTCACATGAGCGTAATACAGGTCGAGGGACGAATTGGGAGGAAGATAAATGGCAATGATGTAGAGCGAGCGGCGTCCAGATTTAACACGAACTGAAACTTGTTCGAGTTGCTCACAATTTATCGGCGAAGTAGGTTCACAGACTATATGCCTTTTGACCGCGATCAGCACTCCGCCTCCCCGTGAGTGAATACTGGTCGATGTGCTACGGTCGCATCGAAATATGGTATACTCGGACGAAATTTCTGCGCTGTCGATATCAGATCTGAGCCAAGTTTCAGTGCACACGAGAACATCGTAATCACAGCTCGATAAAAGCAAGCGAAGACGGGAGATTTTGGTACGCAAGCCTCTAACGTTCTGATAGTATACCGACAACAACCGGTCAGATGACACGCCATTCGAACGGCTCTTCACCGGTGAGGTAGATCCGAGAGCTTCCGTGGTGCGTTGGTTGGCAGATAAGCCCACATTCGTTGACAAGCGGCAACTGGAATCGACCAATGTCACGGGAAGTAAACTGTTTGAAACGTGTGCATACTTGCCTGCGATGGCGGCTTGGAAGACCCCTTCCCCGCACTCATACATACGACCGGGATGTCTGCAGGGCGCTGGCCGCAATGGCTCGACTGTGACGAGGGGTTTTGGGGCTTCCATGAAGCTTGCAGGCATGCATCCCGGTGACTCGACGAACACTGATGAAATAGATGTCCCTGATTGGGCACGATTACGTTGATTGGCTTCCGTGTGACACCACTGAGCGGCTGCATCGAATGGGGTTGACGTTGAACCGCTAGAAATAGCAGACGTAATGTAAGATCTACCACCGATTCCTAGTCCTGAATATTTCAAACTAGGGGAACAGGATTTTTGAGTAATCAAAGGAACACATCTTAATGACAAGGCTCGATAGCTTAGTGGTTACCGAGCAGAAGGTCGGGAGTTCAATCCCAGGCCGATCCCCTTTCTTGCAATTTTTCACTATGCCTTATTCTATCCCCACTAGATTTAAATAAAAAACAGTTTGCTGCTTTTTTACTAATCACATTACTTACAACAGTTAATCTAAAAATAACCCAATTCACTAACACTACTATCCTCCTTCTCGTGGAAATTGTGGAAGATGCAGATGTAAACTCGGTCTGTTGTAACAACGATTGTCGAACCAATCATCCTTCCCCTCACCCCAAAGACCGTGAGGACGTGATCTATAAATAGAATGAATCATTGAACTTGTACATTCAAGATCCCAAGCCCCATCTACGTGGTTTCTGAACAATTAATCTGGTCCTGAACAGTAACGGAGAAGCAACTGCGACGTGCGCCGTCTATTTAAAAAAATTAAAGGAACACATCTTAATCCTTGTTTCTTTTTAATCCTTGTTAATAGTGATTAGTTAGTTAGTCTTCATATATGTGATCCCTTATCTTCTGTTTGTTGTTCCCTAGTTTGAAGTGGTTAAGACTAGGGTTCAGATACACCGTGTCATTGCTTAATTTTGTTGCTAAGGAATTCAATTTTAACTGACACAGAGAGGCGTGCCTTTAGAGGTGCTTTTCGAAGGGTATAAATAGTGGGAACTTTCAATTAGAATCGATTCGATGAAGACAAGAATGACACCTGTATTAAAACCGAATACTTCATCATTTCTCAATAGTGATGGAGTAATACCAGATGCACTAAACTAAAGACACGGGATATTACAATAGGTTAGATCAAATGAATGGTCGCAATGGTTTTATGTCCCAATCAGAGGATACAAAATAGTCCAAATATTTTTTCCTATCCCACCAGTTGCATGGGATAGGATATGGGATTATAGGCAGTACATCACTCGTACAATAATCTAGGACTTGTACCAGCTTCGAATTTGTGCAACTTGGTTAATGAGAATGCAATGCTTTCAAGAAATATCAGTTTCAAAGTATGTTTTCTTAATTATGATTTGCTATGGATTCATCAAACAATTTAATGTGTGACACCATTTTAATCCAATGCATGGTTTACGAGATTCACCTTGACAAAAACTCCGTCCAGTACTAATGAATTCCTAACAGACGTTATCCCAAGAAAAGAAAACAAAACTCAATTAATTCCCATTTAAATGGAAAGGGTGTGAACAAATGACAGTTGATTTATGTTGTAAAACTTCTCAAGATGTAGAACTACAAATTGAACATCCAGCCGGACAAATACAACACACTTATATTCAACAACATTATGTTCCAAATCCCTTCAGAAGAGTTGACAAGGTGTCAGTCCAAGACTATCCAGTAGAATCCGTCTTCAACTAGACGGCATCAATTTAATTCGATTTCAACTTCAAAACTACGAGCTTCGTCCACTTGGAGATGTATTTTATTTTCAATTCAAACAGTTTTGAACTGACACATTGGCTGAGGAAAACAAATTAAAATGAAAACTCTTCCGGCGGGATACATACCGTTTTCCCCAACTGAGCCGTCAGCATCTACCAGCCACGAAGTCGAGCGACTAATCCGAACGGTTCCCATCACACTACGAAGCAATGAGCGAGCGCCACTCCCACGCTCTAGTTTGACAACAACAAGTTGCCAAGCTCTGGACCATGTAACCAGGATGAGTAATATAGTGTATTGGTAGTTTGGTAGTCTGTAGACTGGATATGTTTAGCAATTTGTTTAGAGCGAGTACGAGTGTCATTTCGTTCATGGTAAGGTAAACGGAAGGTAGCTTGAAATCTCATGCAAAACAACTCTGATTATTAAATAACTGCTTTTCACTCCCATTAAATGGCTTTCAAGTTTTGTGTTACGCAACAATCATGCTGAGTATCATAGAAACGTCGAACGATAGATGTAGAACGAATCAAACGTGCAACAAGTCAAACAAACCCACCCACTCTGTATCTCATTTTCCAATCAAGCTCCACTTTCTGTTCATTCAATGTTCGCTAGACCTACGGGGCACTGCTTATCGATTCCGCAACAATCGATTCCAAGCAATAGGTCAATCCTACTAAAAAAAAACAAGAATTCGTTGAACCTTCTATCCAAGCAGTCCGGATTTGCATTTGCATTTTAATGACATTTTTTTTTAGATTGCTTCGATTGCACTCTCTCGGCAAGCGATGGAATTGGAGAAAGAAAACAAATTGTTTGAAAGTAAAAACAAATTACATTTACGCAAATTGAATTTCGATCCACCGGCAGAGAGTGCGACGAGCAAAAATGTTATAGAATTTTCTTCCGATAATCATTCGAAGCGACGCTGAGTGAGAAGCAATGTTGGATAAACGTTTAAGGTAATACGGTGAAATCGCTTCGCAAAACAACCGACAATACAAAGAATGGTAAGCCGTAGCTCAACTCCACAAGTATCTCTGTGTCACATTGTTACGATTAATGCACACGCTTCGCAGCGCTCCGTCCGGGAAGTAAACGTGAGCAAAGTAAAGTACACAAATCTCTGCCTCTACGCTGCCATTTTTTCCTGACACAACTTCAACAGAAAACTATTGTCCTAGGAAGTGAAACTGTAACTAATATATCATCTCAACTTTTCCCAACTCCCCCCTCCCACTACTGGTTTTATATGACTAACTTAAATCAGGTACGCGATAGGCAACGCCGAACGGCCGTTTATGAAGAACAAAATTGGCTGGTTGGACGCGTTGGCCGACGCCACCCAGGAGTATTACTATGCCAACAACACCGGTGGAGGTCCGTCGATAAAGGTAAGGCCTGCTTGGATGTCATAAATATTGTTCTGCTTCGCTCCGTTCTCGACTCTCCCATGGAACGGAGCAGGCGACTTTGAAGACCCCATAACCTCTTTAATAGCTTTGATAATCGGAAAATGGCTTCTGATATAGCACACCAATGCACACAGCTAAGCAGCAAACGCAATAAACACACATCAGACGCTCATACATATTCATTCCGTTCGTGCAACAAATTGTTTTCAGGAATCGATTTTCCGTCTCATCGTGCTTTTTCCCATCTCTTTTCATGCGGTCGTCCTGTTGCTGTGCTCCATGTAATCGTACCATGGGAACCTTGCATCAACGGCAACAACAACAACATACTTGAAGTCACGATACGTGACCGCTCTGTACTTCACCTTTACCTCGCTGACGTCGGTGGGTTTCGGGAATGTGGCGCCGAATACAGACGCCGAGAAGATTTTCACGATATGCGTCATGTTGGTTGGATGTAAGTAGAGTTAAACAAATATGGGTTTTCGTTGGCGTAGCTAGATTTATTTGAAGTTTGGTCATACTATAAGTGATGGTGTTCAGTATTGAATTCAGTGTTTGGCAATAAATTTTACTGAGATCTTAGTAAACATGACGTTTGTTTGGTGAGATTCAGAAAAAGATATTCCGACACTCAGCAACCAAACGTCACTTTTGCTGAGATCTCAGCAAAATATGTTTGCCGGGAGCTCGGCTGTGCAAATCTTGGCAAAAATTATCGAGATTCGGCATACAAAATGAAGTGTGTAACTGAACAAGGCTGAGTTCATTCGAATTCAATAGCAACGAAGCACAACAATGCACTAGTAGAGGTTCGCGGAGCATATAGTGCGATCTGAAAACCCTTGCACTAAATTATCTCTAGGACTTGTTTCCAAAGTTCTTCAAACTTATTCAGAAGATCACTGGAATTTGTCTGCATGTAGGGATCCTCTGATGGAATCTTTGACAAAAGGACGAAAGACAAAATTTCGAAAGACAAAAACTCGAAAGACAAAAGCTCGAAATACAAAAGGTCGAAAGACAAAAGGTCGGAAGACAAAATGTCGAAATATAAAAGGTCGAAAGACAAAAGGTCGAAAGACAAAAGGTCGAAAGACAAAAGGTCGAAAGACAAAAGGTCGAAAGACAAAAGGTCGAAAGGCAAAAGCTAGAAAGAATAAAATGTCGACAGGATAAAAGGTCAAAAAGACAAAATCTGATGTAAATATTCAGAAACTGAAAACTCTGAAAAAACTGAAGAGAAATATGATTTTATATTAGCTCGTTCTTTGAAATATGTACTTTGACTATATGTTTAGTATTACTTCTGCGTAAAGTCAACGATTTACATAGTTAAAGATGTTAATTTCAAATAACAGGCTGAAGTGGTAATTTTTATACGATATAATGAGGAGATGAAAGTATAGAATTGATAGTTCCGTTTAGAGTACGGCAGTGTGAAAATTGCATATAGCGGAGTAGACAGCGATAAAACTTGTCTAGCTCGCTGTCTACTCCTCTATATGCAATTTTCACACTGCCGTACTCTAAGCGGAACTATCAATTCTATACTTTCATCTCCTCACTCTATCATATAAAAATTACCACTTCAGTCTGTTATTTCAAATTAGCATCTTCAACTATTTGAAATATGGTTTTCTTAACAAAAAAAATAGATTTAGGATTTCGAACTTTTGTCCTTTCGATCTTTGTCATTTCTACCCTCTGCCTCTCGACGCTTTGTCTTTCGACACTAGCCCTTTCGACCTTTTGTCATAGATTTCATTAAATGATCCCTAAATGCAGACAAATGCCAGTGATCTTCTGAATAAGTTTGAAGAACTTTGGAGACAAGTCCTAGAGATAATTTAGTATAGAGGTTTTCAAATCGTACTCTATATTCTAATGCTCCGCGAACCTCTACTAGTGAACCGTTGTGCTTCTCTGGAAAAACTCAACGTAGCTCCGATTTGCATAACACTTAGCATAGGGTAAATTATGGCTTCGGCACCCATTGACTGTTTTCGGCAACCGAAATTGAAACATTAATTTCACTGTATTTTCCCATCAAAACTCTTCACTGAATGTATTCAACCGATTCCTTACCCTTTCAGCTTCAATCTTATCACATTTTTACGACTGAGCAATCCTGTTATGCCAGATTTTTCTTTAAATGAAATATACACACTACAAAATACGGCTGATTTCGAGTTGCCGATAATAGAACAGCTGGTTAACACGCAGTTCAAATGGAAATGGTGCCGAAGAAAATGAGACTGCCGACAATAGTCACACTCAACTGAGAAGTTTGGAGCGTTGTAAAAGCGTGTTCTACCCGTTTTGATCAATTCTGTCGATTGGAATTGATAGAACAGCAAGCAGCAGATAAATGTCAATAAACAAACCCGTTATATATGTGTGTGACGCTGAGAAATTGCTAATAGAAGTCCGGATGCTGCTTAGATTGACGAGAATACGTAAATTCCCCTAATTGTGTTATGAGCAACCACTCACATTTTTAAAAAAATCTTCCATTTTGGATCTTGTAATTTTTTTCAAAATGGCGTCTTTGTCTTTATTCAATAAATTATAGCACGAAAACAACTCTTTTCATCGAAAAGACGCCGGAGAGTTATAGAGAAAAATAACGTCTTTCTGCGGAAAATTATACAGTAATTTTGATCTAAATTGATTAATGAGCGATTTAGAAGAATAATTGTATACCTTATTACGTTGTTTTTAGTTTTAATTCTACTTCTATTCCATTATCTAATCTATCATTGGATATTATCCCTATCCCTATGCGGATAATTTTAAAACGGATAATATCCGAGTTAAAATTATCCGGATGGTAAAAAATTGGATAGGGATAATATCCATTATTTTTTCTATCCGGAGTACTTCGGACAGTTTATGATTAGAATAGGGTTGTATGATATCAAATATGTACCCATCAATATGGGTATTTTTGGAATCGGGGGGATGTCTAGAGGCCAGAAATTGATGTCCGGTGCCATTTTGGAATTCAATATTGCGGCCATTGGGTTCAATAAAAGTGGCAAATACCCTACAATATAATATTTACTACGTGTATGCAGAAAATTGATGTCCGATGCCATTTTGGTGGAAATCGGGTTCAGAAAAGTATTCAATACCCTACAATATGGGTATTTTCGGAAAGGGGACGACTTATAGATTTATGTCCGACGCCATTTTGGAATCCAAATGGTTTGGAAAAAGTGGTATACCCTACAATATGGGTATTTTCGAATACCCATATGTATACACTAAGATTATTTTACCGGGATCTGTGAAATTTTACCGAAATCTCAACAGCTGAACGTTCGGTAAACAGTTCGGTGATTTTTCACAGATAGTCGTTGAAAAATTACAGAACTGTGAAAAATCACTGTTCACCGAACGTTCAGCTGTTGAGATTTCGGTAAAATTTCGCAGATGAGCATGAGCATGAGCATGATTGACCGCCCACGGTTGCTACTCTGTTATTGCCAGACCAGCTGTAATTACACAGAGAACCAATAGAAGATGCTTGGGACTAGCAATCATCCTCAATGTGTAAAAACTGGTGATCTCAAACTAGGCAATACCAGCACCGGCCGCACCCGAACACAGGTCAAGAAAGGAAGGGGTAGGAATGTGTTGACGTGACACTCGCTTTGATGGAAGCCGAAAACACCTCTGCACTTCCACGAGGAATCACTGGGATATTGGGTAATAGGGTTGGGTTTGCAGCACGGTTCGTTTTGGTAAACGATAAGCTGAATTGATTTCCTAACCATCATATAACGCGAAGGAGCTTGGGATTGAACCCACGGTCTTCTGCTCAGTAAGCAAAAACGTTTGCCACTAGGCAGACGAGCTCCTTTTTAATCATCGAGTTGTTGTTATTACCATGTAGTCATGTTAACAAATAAAACGATTGACGAATCTTGAATGTGGATGGGCTTGAGACTCATGATGTTCTGCTCAGTAAGCAAAACCGGTTGCTCTAAGGCCACCTCATATCAAACCATACATTTTTAATATGAAAGGACCTGGGACCGCGTTTTTCTCCTCAGTAAGCAAGCCACTGCAACCGACGATCTTTGAAATCCTAAAACTAAAAGCTACGAAAGAGTACTTAGGCCTTCATTAAGATCCACTTTCACCACGCGACGTTCAATGTTTCGATTTTCTCTTTACGCATGGTTCAGACAATCATAACAAGCTATGACCGACGTGACGATTGTTTAATACCTTGTTAAACAAGCTATTCAAATGAAATTACGTTCTCGAATTTCACCTGGAATGTAATGAACAACATAAATACGCGATAATTTATATTTTCAGCGGTTGGTGTTTAATTTTAAATATACCAACGGTACTGCCTACGACTACGACAACAACGACAACAGCGAATCTGCAACTTACCATTTGTCTAGGGTAAACACCCTTGCCCGGCACCTCCACTGGTTCCTCATGTCTGCTATCTGTCACTGTTTGCAAAATATCTAATAGCAATTACCTTTGTTGTAATACTTCCTGTATTGCCATGGTAATCTAGGAGGAGGTTCGCATCTAGTGCTCTCCCCAGGAACCGTTCACGGCCACCAGCCACCGCCCGTCCAGTCTTGGGCGTATCCAGCGAGACATCCCTCAGCCTACTCACAATCTCCAACACTTGATGCAAATCGCAGGCACACTTACGCTTGTTACAAAAAAAACACACCCGTGCAAAGAAACGGATCCAATAAACGTCACTCTCGCGAAAGCACACCCGTCGTCGTCGAACGGCAAAAGAAAAGGAATCGGTGGGAAATTTTGTGATACGGATTTCCAAAATCAAACGGGAATGTACGAATTTCACCACACCCAACTGCGAAACACGTTCAGAAGCACTTGTGGTACACTTTCGTTCGAAAACACTTAATTTTTTTCAAAACTAGTTGCGAGTGGACCAACATCAACACCGCGTAAATAAACTAATATTAAAATTATCACTCGCGATGCCACAAATTTCTGGACCGGGAGAAAAAATCAAACAACGCAGATAGCGTCAAATCTTCTGTTGCTTGCAAACATGATGAATCATGTTTTCTTTCTCGATTCTAAAACTTCTCGGAAAGCGAGAAAACCACCACTCACACACGTATAACCGTCCGGGAGGCAGAGTGCCAGTGCTAATCCGGCAAATGCAGCCGAAAACTATGAGACGAATGCACGCACAAAACAGAGAACAAACTTAAAACACAACCGCGTTCGAAACTCGACCATCATTTTGGTAAAATTTTGCAGATCTCGGTAAAATAATCTTAGTGTTTAGAGGCTGAAAATCGATGTCCGACGCCATTTTGGATTGGAAGATGGGTGGCTACCTGTTTTAAAAAAATATAAAATATTATTTGATATGGTCGCCATCCTGGATTCCATAATGGCGTCGCACATCAATTTTCGGAATCTACACGTCGTCCCCAT